GCGGTAAGAACGAATCTTCTATCCGTCACCAAGCTTTAATTACAATATATTGTTAAAATTGTTCTATTTAATTATTAGATATTGTTGTTAATCTCTTATTGTGCTTAATAAGATATGCGGTAAGAACGAATCTTCTATCCGTCACCAAGCTTTAATTACAATATATTGTTAAAATTGTTCTATTTAATTATTAGATATTGTTGTTAATCTCTTATTGTGCTTAATAAGATCTACGGTAAGAACGAATCTTCTATCCGTCACAAAGCTTTAATTACAATATATTGTTAAAATTGTTCTATCTATATTTCTGAGATGAGGTATTATGTACATTATTTACATTATTCTGGCTATTGTCCTCATCTTTGTTGCCATATTTATTCCAACGTTTCGACCGTTGTACGCTCCGGCCTTCTTCAGGTTGTTAGAATGTCGAACTGAACCCTTTATTTCGCTCACTGCGGTAGACTGTTCTAGTTCCACGTGCCATGTTTTAATGGATGTCCGTGGTCAGTTATCTCCTGTTAATTCCCCTCTCCAAGTTCTCCATTGAACTCACACTCTTTGGGTTCTGTCAAGGACACATAGCACAGTGGATAAAGGCGTTAGTTAGATCCAGTGACAGGACCCAAAGAGTATGAGTTCAATACCCGGTAAGGCTGTATCTTCTAGGTAAGTGTATTCAAGTAGGGATGTCTCCAGTGTGGAAAAAATTTGTTGTACATATTTTTGCTGGTGTTTATCCGGAAAAATAGGGCATAAAACGAAGGAGCAAGAGGGTATAAGCAAATATATATATATTGTTGTTTGCTTTAGTGTGAGTTTTTTGGTATTCGGTGGAGCAAAATGTTTGTTTATAAGGGGGATTTTGTTCGCAGTCTGGAGAAATGTCTTTTCGAGAGTTTGGAAGTCAGCACTTGATAGTAGTTGTAGTTGATAGTCATCTTAGAAAGTGTCACGTGTCAACCTACTGTGTTTTTCGCGGCCCCAAGCAGGACAGAAATATCATTAACAGATGACCTTTTAACTCGTCACGTTTGAGCTGGTTTCTCTGCAGATGCTTTTTTTTCCCCCATTTTCTACTGTCCTCGTTCTCCTAACTCAGATGTGTCAGCTTTGATCAGGCTCGGAGATTCTGGCGGAAATTTTGGTTTCTGCTAACATCAAAAGCCGCTTTGTGTTACTTTTTTTGATTGGACAAAATTATTTATTATTCTGGCATTTCTTTATTTCTCTCTTTTTTTATGACGGGAGTTATGCATGGAGCCTACCTGATATTTGTTTTTACTCATAAACTAATAGGCTCTGTTCCTGCGAACTTTCGCCGTTTTCAGCAGGGTTCAGTCTTTTCTTCGTTCTCTTTTGATTTCAGTGTTGCCTTCTCGTTAATTGAGACAAATATATATAGAGTAGTTTACAGAGAGAGAGAGAGAATGATAATAGTTTTTAAGGAAAGCGCAAATGCCTTCTTTTAAGTTGGATGCTTTTTATTTTCGTTTATGTAATTTATTTTTTATTATTTTTCTCACTACGATTTCCCCTTGTGTTTAATAAGATCTACGGCAAGAACGAATCTTCTCTCTGTCACATAATTTTTCTCCCTCTGTCTTTTTTTACAAACACACACACACACACACATATATATATATATATATATATATATATATATATATAGAGAGAGAGAGAGAGAGATATGTATGTATATTTTAAAGAAAAACAGACAGCTTTAAGGTTCCATATAATAATTTATTTCACCAGAGTCCTTTTAAAGGACACCGGATCATCACATAGGACTTCCAAAAGATGAAACGAAAAATGAAACAAAAATTGATGGGTAGTGTATGTTTTTGTAATTTAACAGAGTTTAATAAGGAGTGGTTAGGGAGACATAGTAGAGTTTAGTGAGGGTTTAATTTAATATTTCTCTCAATCATACTTAGTATTGGGGGAGGAGGAGTGACCAGACCGTGACATATTTAAACAGTTAACTTAATGGAAATGATATATTGAAATGGGAGTGGAGAAAAGAAAAAGGCAAAAGAAATAAGGGGGAAGTAAAGAGAAAGAGGTTGTAAATGGGTTTTATATAAGAAGGAGAGGGGTGGTAAGTTTTAGCAATTTATTTAAAAAATAGATTTTAATGTTTGATAGTAATTTAGATGTCTAAAAAAATCCATGAAGAAATTAATTTGATGCTTGCTAGCAATTTAAATATTTAACTTTTTTACAAATAATTTAGGGATTTAATATAAGTTAAATACTGTATTTATTAACACATTCATAGAGAACGCTTTAAAAAAAGATATATGCATGTGTATATATATATATATATATATATATATAACTGTTTTTTTTTTTTAATATTATGCTCCATTGTTGTATTGAGCACTGTTTTTTTTAAAAAGGAATGCTAAGAACTCTGAATTATGAATTTCCTTGTTCTTTCCTATTATTTTAATATATATATATATATATAATTTAAGAATTAAAAGTGAAGCCGATATTGCTCATATGGTGCTGAAAAATAGAGCATTCAGAATATTATTTTTATGTATACAAAAGAATTACTTAACTGTGTTTCTTTTGTATGCATAAATGATATTATATATATATTGTTTAAATCCGATAATATTTTAATATATTTTGTTTATGCATTATGAAAACTGATATTTATTTGAATAAATGCTATTTTTTAATTAAACAGCATTAATTACATTTACTGGCTTGAATGTTCGAGAAGTTTCATAGAAAATTTACGTTCATAAATAATTCACTGAAATAAGTAGTATCCCCCCAAAAAAACGTATAAACATAAAATATATTAAAATGTTTGTTGGATTTAAGTCATTCTAATACATTGTCATTGTTTACGTTAGGCTACGTTTCGGAGCGAAAATAAATTATCGAGAAAGGTCGACGAATATGTGTAAAAAAGTGCAGAAATTTAGAGTTTGATAACCGGAAAGTTATCTGTAGCTGAATGGTTAAACAACACGTCAGGAAATATGATGGGTTCTGTATGGGATACAGGTTCGATTCCACGAAATATCTCGATTTTATATATATATATATATATATATATATGAATGAAGAAATATACTCTTAAGGTGTGCTATATTTATGGGATAAAGTGCTCAATATCAAAGATAGAGCGTTTGTAAATATAAAAGTGAACATTGAAGTCAACACTTAGAGGTGATATGCTGTTTCAGTCCACCTGACGATTGCATCTAGCATGAAACAGCCTGTTGCCTCTAAATGTTGACTTCAATGTTCACACACACACATATATATATATATATATATATATATATATATATATAAAAATTAACTGATATAAAATATTGTTTTTCGCTACACAGTAATAATCAAGTTTCAAAAATGGAAGCTAAAAACTTTAAATTAAATTATATAATTAAATTAAAAGCACTTAGCTTCCATTTTTGAAACATGGTTATTACTGTGTAGTGAAAAACCATATTCTAAATCAGTTGATTTATAGTATTTATGCTCTGTAAATTTACATTGAGCACTGTTTTGTAAAAATAAAAAAATCACAAGAAAATCGTATTATATATCTTACTGTTCTTTCTTTACATATATATATATATATATATATATATATATAAAACTATTTATTTAAAAATATGATTCCAACTCGCGACATAAGAAGTCTCATGTTTATATAAGGGTTATCTTTTTTGTATTAAACAATAGACATGAGTTAACGGTTTTTTGTCGACATCATCAGATTCATGGTTTGAATAATTAGCTAAGAACAAGCATACAATATAATAACTTGTTTAATCCATAGCCCAATCAACAGATTCATGGTTTGAATAATTAGCTAAGAACAAGCATACAATATAATAACTTGTTTAATCCATAGCCCAATCAACAGATTCATGGTTTGAATAATTAGCTAAGAACAAGCATACAATATAATAACTTGTTTAATCCATAGCCCAATCAACAGATTCATGGTTTGAATAATTAGCTAAAAACAAGCATACAATATAATAACTTGATTAATCCATAGCCCAATCATCAGATTCATGTTCTGAATAATTAGCTAAGAACAAGCATACAATATAATAACTTGTTTAATCCATAGCCCAAATAAATAGTTTAAATACCCTACAAAAAAGATAACCCTTTATGAAGTCGTCAAAAAACATACGGCATTTTTTATATGCACAAATCCCTTTCATAAAAAATAAAATAAAAAAATAAATAAATCTCCACAGACACGCCAACCAGACTAGGGTTAATACATCTTCCATTTCAAATTTAGACACCCCCACCTTTCCCTGACTTGACATCTATGAAAGTAACTCTATACTGATACTTATTATTAACACCCAACACACGCCTACCCAATTTAAACAATTCGCCCTAGCTGTTACCATGGAAATTTTGATTTAATTTATTAAAACACTTAAATTTCAAAAATACGTTATTCAAAAAAAAATTTCGCTTGAAGATGGAACAGAGCTTATTTTAACTCAATTTAATTTAAATAATTATATTGAAGTTTTCGGCTCTTGTTTTGAAACATGAGACCTCTTATGTCGCGAGTTGGAATCATATTTTTAAATAAATAATTATATTTATGCTCTACTTTTGTATTGAGCACTATTTTTAAAAAATAATAACTAAAATACTAAGGAACTTTGGATTATTTACCTAACCAGTTCCTTCCTATTTTCTATATATTTTCACATATATACATGCTGTAAGATATAACCCTCTTTTGAGAAGGAACAATGTTTTTGAAAAAATGATTCTGCTGTGATGGAATATTTGTATAAACATTGTTTTGAATAATTGAGTTACAGCTTTACATACAAATACTTTGAGAACTGACGTCTTTCTCCTATGACCTTAATTACAGATCCGAATATGTATAAAGAGGGATAACATGTTATGGCCAAGCAGTCTCAAAACTGAGTGAACTCAATAATTCAATGTACTGAAGTGTGACTTGTCAGGAAGTTTTAGTATCAAACCAATACAATATATTTGGAACGGAAAATAAAAGAGAATCCAAATTGCAACCTCATTGGTTGCAGATAATTAATCCGAATCGCCCAAATTATCACAATGATCAAACATTGAACGGTAAAATATACGTCGAGACAAAGAGGAAAAAAATGGATATAGATAGGCAGAGGGTAAGTGTACGAGAGAGAGAGACTAAGAGATGAAGAGACTGTGATCATAACATGAAAGGATAGAGAGATGGAGATAGGAAGAGATTGAAAGAGATGCACAGAGAAGAATATGAAGAGACTGGGAGAGATGCGCAGAGAAGGATATGAAGAGATTGGGAGAGATGCGCAGAAAAGGATATGAAGAGATTGGGAGAGATGCGCAGAGAAGGATATGAAGGGACCGGGAGAGATGCGCAGAAAAGGATATGAAGAGATTGGGAGAGATGCGCAGAGAAGGATATGAAGAGATTGGGAGAGATGCGCAGAGAAGGATATGAAGAGATTGGGAGAGATGCGCAGAGAAGGATATGAAGGGACCGGGAGAGATGCGCAGAAAAGGATATGAAGAGATTGGGAGAGATGCGCAGAGAAGGATATGAAGGGACCGGGAGAGATGCGCAGAGAAGGATATGAAGGGACCGGGAGAGATGCGCAGAGAAGGATATGAAGGGACCGGGAGCGATGCGCAGAGCAAGATAAGAAGAGACCGGGAGCGATGCGCAGAGCAAGATAAGAAGAGACCGGGAGCGATGCACCGAGCAAGATAAGAAGAGACCGGGAGCGATGCGCAGAGCAAGATAAGAAGAGAGACGGGAAGCGATCATAAAGATAAGAAGAGACCGGGAGCGATGCACCGAGCAAGATAAGAAGAGACCGGGAGCGATGAAAACTTGAAGTGTGAGAGAAATAAAAGTCTGTGATGGATGAAGAATGAAAGAGATGAAGATATGAAGAGACAGAGATGTAGAGAGAAAGATATGAAAGACTGAGAGAGATGAAGTTAAGATGTGAATGAAAAAAAATAAAGATACCAAGAGACTGAGACAGATGAAGAGAGAAAGATATGAAAAGTCTGAGAGGGATGAAGAGACTGAGAGAGCGATAGATATGAAGAGATAGAGAGATGCAGAGAGAGTGATATGAAAGACAGAGAGAGATGAAGATAGGAAAAAGACTGAAAGAGATGCACAGAGAAAGATATGAAACGACTGAGAGAGATGAAGAGTGAAAGTGATGAACTTATGGAAGACTGTGAGAGATAAAGAGAGAAATGTTGAGAGAGATTAAGTGTGAGAGAGGAGATAGGAAGAGACTGAGACAGATGTGAAGAGATTGAGAGAGACAAAGATATGACGAGGCAAATAGATGCAGAAAGAAAGGTATGAAAGGAGTGAGTCAGACAATGAGTGAGAGAGATGAAGAAGTGAACAGACTGAGAAAGCAGAAGAGATTGAGAGAGATGAAGAAGTGAACAGACTGAGAAAGCAGAAGAGATTGAGAGAGATGAACAGTGAGAGAGATGAAGATATGAAGAGACAGAGAGATTAAGATGTGGAGAGACGTAGAGAGAAAGATATGAAAGACTGACAAAGATGAAGTCCTGATGAGACTGAGAGAGATGAAGATATCAAGAGACTGGGAGAGATGAAGAGAGGAAGCAATTGAAAGTGCTTAAGAGATGAAGATATGATAGGTGGTTGGTTGTTTTTGTTTAGCAGCATATCAACACCTCTATGGGTTATTTAATGCTGAAATCTAAATATTTTGTATACAATTTTATTTTTTGGAATTAGTAACTGTTTAGCGATACAGGTCTCGATAATTACCACGTTAGAAATGGAGAAGTGTTGTATTTTAGACAACGATCCAAATCGAATGTATTTAATACAACCATATGAACAGAATATATTTCAGACAACCATACAAAGAAAATGTATTTTAGACAATCATACAAAGAAAATTTGATATGAAATTTGAATAACTATTCATGTTCAACATAACTGACTGCACGGAATAAATATTTAAATATACAGAGTCATTGGAATTTATCACAGTGCAGTGATGGGAGTGCAACATCTCGAGGCTCATGCATTAGTTGTACACACCTCAACTGCATAAATAGGATCCCACTAAAGCATAGGTGTGTCCAATTTTCTGACATCACTATTTGGTCACAAGAAAAAATACTGCAACACATTTAAACAAAAGAAACCTTTCACATCGAATTTTGTTTCATGGACTTGAAAGTTAAATAAACGTATAAAATCCATAATTGTGAAAGATTACCATTACTCTGGTTTTATTTGATCAAAGACTTTTATCCTGAAGCAGACTTTCCTAACCTCTGTTGTATGAAGTTCTGAGATTAACGACTTAAGATGTTAAAATCAATCCATAATGATATGCTACAGGCTCGCAATATCACTTGTGTAATTTACTATTTTAAATGTCAGTGTTATTTTTTTTTTAATCATTTCACCCTAGCAAGGCAATAAAGCCACTAAGATGCAAGGGGCTACTGGGAGTGAAAGAGAATGAGAAGATTTTAGAAGGAACCAGAAACCCAATCCTAAACAGGAAACAAGGGATAAACCTCTACTCCTCTATTCACCCCAAGCAAGGTGATAATGCCACTAAGATGCAAGGGGCTACTGGGAGTGAAAGAGAATGAAAAAGACTTTAGAAGGAACCAGAAACCCAATCCTAAACAGGAAACAAGGGATAAACCTCTACTCCTCTATTCACCCCAAGCAAGGCAATAAAGCCACTAAGATGCAAGCGGCTACTGGGAGGAAAGAGAATGAGAAAGATTTTAGAAGGAACCAGAAACCCAATCCTAAACAGGAAACAAGGGATAAACCTCTACTCCTCTATTCACCCCAAGCAAGGCAATAAAGCCACTAAGATGCAAGCGACTACTGGGAGTGAAAGAGAATGAGAAGATTTTAGAAGGAACCAGAAACCCAATCCTAAACAGGAAACAAGGGATAAACCTCTACTCCTCTATTCACCCCAAGCAAGGCAATAAAGCCACTAAGATGCAAGCGGCTACTGGGAGTGAAAGAGAATGAGAAGATTTTAGAAGGAACCAGAAACCCAATCCTAAACAGGAAACAAGGGATAAACCTCTACTCCTCTATTCACCCCAAGCAAGGCAATAAAGCCACTAAGATGCAAGCGGCTACTGGGAGTGAAAGAGAATGAGAAGATTTTAGAAGGAACCAGAAACCCAGTCTTAAACATGAAACAAAGGATAAAACTCTGCTCCTGTTTTAAAGACAAGGGAGGAGTGTGAGCCGGTCGATATGCTAATTTTATTCATGAAACAGGTCAGAGGTTGGAATTAACAATGAATCAATATGTACCAGCCATATTTGAAAAGGAAATTGCAACACTTTAAATATACAGATTAATACATCTGGGTCTGCAATAGCTGAGCATTTGTTAAATAACCATCAGTGTGCTTGATCTAGAAACAGACAGATTCTCTGTACTGAGGGACACTCATTTACATTTCCACTTAAAGACATTCCTTGGTATGACAATAAACTACATATGGCAGCAAGGCCTCTGACTGAGAGATTGGAGTTTTTGAGGCACATTGAACCACCTCTTAGTTGCTGTTGTTCCCAGGTACATTCTGACCCAGGGAGGAAGCACCTGTTAGCATCCCAGCTGTAGGCAAAGAGTGACCCCCAACAAAACAAAAACATTATGAAAGTATAAAAATACATTTTTATAGTAAAATTACCAGCAATACATTTTTATATTAAAAAATTACCAATAACACCTATTGATAATAAAATTACCAACAACACCTATTGATAATAAAATTACCAGCAATACATTTTTATATTAAAAAATTACCAATAACACCTATTGATAATAAAATTACCAACAATATATGTAATCTGTCATTGAAGGCATGCACTTACGTTTAAAATATTTAGATTTTGTCATTAAATAACCCATAGACATGTTGATATGCCACTGAACAAAATTAAACAAAACAAACAAGCAGCATAAAACTTTCATGACATTAATCCATTTAATATCCGCCAATTTCTTAAAGAAATTGAACTGTATTCCAAAATATAACTTCAACAAAACTACAACATAAAACACACATACAACCAATTCTAGTCATTTAAATATGCAGATTGTTGACCATGTTTGCCGTAGTCTCTGAATGTGGAATCCAGTGAAGTCCGTAACCTCTTCAATATCAGAGGTTGGTAATGTAGATTCAGAGAAAGTAGCGGCTGCTAATTCTTTAAGTCTTCAATATCAGGTTCGCAGTGAAGATATTTTGGGAGAAAAAAAACAAAATGGCTGACTTTATACATGTCGCATTGAATGTTTTGAGCTTTCTGATTGGTTAACCCTTCTATTGGTGATGTATAAAACGAGTCAGCTCATTTTGACTGGCTCACTAGTATATGACTGTACCCAAAAATTCTAACACAGATTAATACATCTGGGTCAGAAATAGCTGAGCATTTGTTAAATAACCATCAGAGTGCTTGATCTGGAAACAAAGACATGTTCTCTGCTTATTTTCATTTCTCCCTAAAGGCAGTCCTGGGTATGATGATAAACTACATCAGGCAGCAAGGCCTCTGACTGAGAGATTGGTTTTTGAGGAGCATGGAACCACCTCTTAATTGCTGTTCTAACAAATATATGTATGCACAAAAGCTGAGTATTATCTACCATGTATTCAATTGTGAAAGCAGAATAACATATATTATATTTTTATTACTTCAAAACTCCCAAGAAAATTAAATTTTGATATAAATAACCCATAAAGAGTTGACAAATCAAATCCACCTAAAGGTCTTTGGGACTATATATATTAAGTTCTTCCAGTCCTCCCTCTGTTAGTAGAACAATTGGCTTTTAGGCCAACATGCTATCAGCCTTTGATGATTATATATGTCATTTGGTGTTCTCTATTTTATTCAGTGTGGATATTTTTCATAGATCTCTGAGGAATGTGTAAACGAGTCAAGGATTTTTTTGTGTGTGTGTGATTCCATACAACACTGTAAACTAAGTTTACTAGCAGACATTGCAATTGATTCAATTATTTTTTTTTCTAAGCATTTCACCCCAATCAAGGTGGGGGTACCACTAGTACGCAAGGGGATACAAAGAGTGAAAGTGAGGGAAAAGACAGGGTATAGGGGGGAAGGGGTTGAGGAACGGACAAAAAGAAGAACAGGGATCAGTGCAACAAAAATGTCAATTGACATTACATTTAAATTATTGAAGATTATAGTTATCAGGGAAGCAAGTAAGAGGAAGGGAGTTCCACTTTCGGGAAGTGCAAGAGGAGAGCTGTTGGAGTAGAAGTGGTGGTTACATTTAACTGTTTTGACAGTAAAAGGGTGGGACTGAGATGCCATTCCAGTAACATGCTTAAATTCATGCAGTCAGGGCACTAGTGAAAATACCTCAACAGAGCAGATGCCATGAAAATATTTATAGAAAAGACAGAAGGAAGCCATATTATATTGGTGAGAAAGTGAGTAAGGACTGATCACATTGTATATATCCGTTTTTGGATTTTGTTGAGAACCTCATGATGAACAGCCGGGGCACCAGACCATATATGGCAACAGTATTCCATGCATGGACGAATTGTAGATTTGTATTCTTTCTACTTCATGTCAGTCTAAAAACAAAAAAAACATGAAAATGAGAAGGCACAATGATTTGCTCTCTTGGAGGTTAGCATCAGCCATATGATGATGGAAGGTCAAAATGGTTCTCTAAGATGACAGACAGCAGTTCAGTTTTGGAGGCATTAACATTTACAAGCCATTTCTTGCCCCAGTTAATGCCAGATGGAAGGTTGTTTTGATGATCATCTGCCAGTTTCATATCATAATTACACTAGAGGAGAATATATATGTTTTTTTATTTATTTTTAAGCTTGTCGTTTATATCGAGGGTTCAGTCTCGAATTCCTTTAAGTTACCCAGGTCGATATACACCTAACGAGGGCTAGATGGTACAATGGCTGAAACATTATGATGGCAACAAAGATAAGGGCTGTAGTCTACATGTAAATAAAGATTGATTTATAGTTACTGTTTTCCTCATCTTTGTTGTTTTTATCACAAGATTATGACCATTGTATCCCCTCACCATTTAACAATCTTTTTTATATACTAATGTTCACCCAATACAAGCCCAAGAGCCAGTTAAGGTAGAGGGTTACTGCATGATGTTGTATGCATGTAAGAAAAACGAAGAAGTGAAGATTATCAGGTTATAAAGATAATGGCAAACCCTTGGCTCGAAGAGGTCAAGATTGTAGTGATTGGGAAAACATCCTACAAGGAGTCTGTCCCACATAGCGGAAGTTCTTAAGGAAAAGCTGTTCAAATGAAATTTAATTCTTACTGCTTATGGTTGAAGTTGGTTGACACTATCATACCACAACTGGTAACTGTTTTGGCTGCAGTTTTAAACTTTTTTAAAACTACAAGGCCAAAGAGCCACTCAAGGTAGAGAATTACTGTATGTTATATGTGCATAAGAAAATACAAGAAGTGAAGTTCAAGGGGTTATGCGGGAAAGCTAATGGCTAACCCTAGACACGAAGAGGCCAAGATTGTAAAGATTGGGAAACCATCCTACGAGGTGTCTGTTTCACAAAGCAGCAGTTCTTGGGATTGATTGATTCATTCATTTCCTTTTTTTTCTTTTTGGTAATAATGGTGTAGGTGATACAAGTCTTACTAATTAATCCATAGCTGTGGGGAGAATAGGTGGCTTCATATCTTTCCCATGTTACTTGTGCATAAGCGATTGTAATGAATCCAACTGAAATTGAAACTCTGTTATCAAATTAACGATTCCAAGCCATTATCGCTTACACCTCCTGCACATCAAAACTTAGAGCACTTGGTATTCCCAAAGCAGTCATACATCTAGGTACTGACCGGGTTCGACATTGCTTAACTTTGGTGATTGTACAAGAACAAATATTTCAAAATGATATGGCTGTAAGCCCTCCATAGCATCCTCAGCATTCTTCTGTAGAACCACATTTTTGTTGCTTCAAGTCTCTTCATCTGTGAGGGGATTGTCCAGCATTCACTGCCATATAGGAGGACTGATATTACGTAACAGTTCAGTACTCTTTTCTTTCTAGTTCTTCAAGTCTCTTCTTCATCTGTCAGGAGATTGTCCAGCATTCACAGCCATATAGGAGGACAGATATTACGTAACAGTTCAGTACTCTTTTCTTTGTTTCTGTTGCTTCAAGTCTCTTCTTCATCTGTGAGGAGATTGTCCAGCATTCACTGCCATATAGAAGGACTGATATTACGTAACAGTTCAGTACTCTTTTCTTTTGTTTCTGTTGTTTCAAATCTCTTCTTCGTCTGTGAAAGATTCTCCAGCATTCATTCACTGCCATATAAGGACTGATATTATTAACAGTTCAGTACTCTTTTCTTTGTTTCTATTGCTTCAAGTCTCTTCTTCATCTGTGAGGAGATTGTCCAGCATTCACTGCCACATAGAAGGACTGATATTACGTAACAGTTCAGTACTCTTTTCTTTGTTTCTATTGCTTCATGTCTCTTCATCTTTGAGGAGATTGTCCTGCATTCGCTGCCATATAGGAGGACTGATATTACGTAACAGTTCAGTACTCTTTTCTTTGTTTCAGTTGCTTCAAGTCTCTTCTTCATCTGTGAGGAGATTGTCCAGCATTCACTGCCACATAGAAGGACTGATATTACATAACAGTTCAGTATTATTTTCTAACAAAATATCCCTAAATTCAAAAACCAAAGCCACAAGACTATTGGCATAGGAATCAATCTATCTTGCAATTTCTTAATTTTCATGGATAAAATTTATTTTGATATGAAAGTCGCTATAATTCAAGGTTTTTTTTATTTTTATACTCACCAAGAATAATCATTTAAAAATATGATCTTAAGATCGTGATAATATGAATCTTGGCTTGTGGACAGTATGGCATTAAAAAGGTTGAAATATCAGTTATACTGGCTCATTGTCACTTGGGAGGAAATTAAACACTTGGGTTTTATCGGAGCTTCTTTGTTAACAGCAAAATGTCTTCTCTTTCAATCAAATCCTTTAAGACTTCCAATTTATAGAATGTTGTACTCACGCAAATACTTAAAAACCATCCCAGTATACTGTCTAACCCTTCCCAGCTGTAACTGTACTGGAAAAGAAATGGCTTACAATAAGTAATCCAACCTGGTTATTAAAGATCTGACAAGTAAACCAATGCCACCAATATTGAATTATTTTTCAGGATCTTGAGAGGGGAAAAAATATTTAATGCATTATGATTATCTGCCTTGCTTGTATTTAAGAAACTAACCATGTACCATTGAAAAAGTAATAATAAAGTAACAAACAATTTGTTCTCCTGTGACAATGATTCAATAGCAGAAGAAAAAAAAAAGAAATTCATTAAAACAACACTAAGACAGGTGAGAAAATACTATAAAATTCTTTAATTTAGTCATTTTTTTTTCTGTAATTGTTACTTTTTCTTTTATTGGTAACTATTTTAATTTTTTTTTCTTTCTCTGCTCTGAGCATTTTCAGTTTCTTTTCATCACAATAGAACCATTATTTTCTACTTCTTTGTCTATTTCCACTCACTCGTTTCCATTTTTCTTTCTTTCCGTATTTATTTTTTGACACATCTTTGTTTTGCATCTTTAATTCTGTAGACTTTCTGTGAATCTTTCTTCATTTTTTTTTTTTTTTTTAACTCTTCTTTCAATCTGTGTTTTTTTTTCTTTATCATCTAACATTTTTTTTCTTTCAATTTTGCTTTTTTTTTATTTGAGATTTTTTTTCTTTCAATTTTGCTTTCTTTGGACTTTTTTTCATTTTATTTTATTTTCTTTCAATCTTTTTTTTTTTGTTTCTAATATGGCATTTCAATCTTTCTTTCAAGCTTCAAGTTTTTTACATTTTTTATAGCATTTCTTTGAATTTTTTAAAAAGTTTTCTTTATTTTCCTTCTTTCTTATTTTCAATCATTTTTCTTTTTTCTAATACAGCATTTACTTAATTTCTGCCTTGCAATTTCATACAAATCCTTTGAATTTTTTCTTTCTTTGGAATTTTTTCTTTCCTTTCTTTCCTTTCTTTCTTTCTTTCTTTCTTTCTTTCTTCTTTCTTTCTTTCTTCTTTCTTTCTTTCTTCTTTCTTTCTTTCTTTTCTTCTTTCTTTCTTTTCTTTCTTTCTTTCTTTTCTTTCTTTCTTTCTTTTCTTCTTTCTTTCTTTTCTTCTTTCTTTCTTTTCTTCTTTCTTTCTTTTCTTCTTTCTTTTCTTTTCTTCTTTCTTTTCTTTTCTTCTTTCTTTTCTTTCTTTCTGTGTTTTCTCACATGACATTTTTTTCACTCAATCTTTTCTTCTTTCTTTCAAGCTTTTGTTTTTCCCTTTTTTCTTTACTTTTACTTTTTCTCCTTGCTCTTTCACACAAATTCTTTGACTTTTTCTTTCATTGGATTTCTTTTCTTCTTTCTTTCTTTCAGTCCTTTTCATTTTCTTTTATATATGACATTTTTTCTTCCAATTTTTTCTTCATTTTCCTTCTTATATGGAAATAATTTCTTTCAAGCTTTCATTTCTTTTCAATTTTTTCTTTCTTTGGTATCTACTTTTTTTATTTTATTCTTTTTATATATTTTCTTTCTTTCGATCATTATTATTTTTTCTTTCTAAAATGTTATTTCTTACATTTCTTCCTTCTTGATTTTTCATATTATGTCTTTGAAATTATTTTATTTTTTTCTTATATGTCATTTTCTTCTTGCTTCCAGTTTTTTTTTCTTTTATGAATAAAATTTCAATTTGTTTCAGATTTCTTTCTTAAAGTTCATTTTTCTTTATTTCTCTCTAGTTTTTCTTTTTTTTTTAGTCTTCTTTCTTTCATTTTTCCTTTTTAATGCATTCCTTTGCTTATTCAAAATCTTTCTCCTTCTCTAATTACTAACATTTTTTTTCTTTTTTCTTTCTCTTTACTTTTTTTATTAAATGTTTTTTTATACCATTTTCTGTTCACTGTTTTCTTTCCTTTTTATTGTTTCTTACTTTCTTTTTTACCCACACCTTTCTTTTATTCTTTCTTTCTTCCTTTTTTCTTCGTCTTACTCCTAATCCACACTTTCTTCTTTATATTGTTTTTTTTTCATTGAATTAATTTCCTTAATAATTTTTCTTTTTTTCTTTTTCCCTCATCTTTCTTCTAATCCACACATTCTTCGATATATTAATTTCTTTTCTTTTTTTCATAATTTCTAATTTCCTTCTTTTCATTATTTTCTTTATTTCATTCATTTTTATGCAAATTTTGCTTCCTTTCATTTTTTTCCTTCTTGTCATTCTTTTAATTTGCTAATTTTTTTTTTCTTTCAATCAACTTCTTTTCTTTGCTTTCTTTATTTCTTTTTTTATAAACATTTTCCGAATTTTCATTCCCTCTTTCATTTCATCTTTCTTTATAACCACACGTTTCTTCTTTCATTTTATTCAATATTTTTCTTCTTTCTTTCAACACGTTTTCTTTTCCATTTTCTTTGCCTATCTTCTTTTATATCTCTCCTTCACCTTTCATCTCTCTCTCTTTCTCTTTCCTTCTCTACCTTTTATCCGTTTGGTTTAAAAACGATGACATGAATTTTGATCATTTCTAAACGCATGATTCTTTTTCTCCTTAATTGTTTAAAAATTTTTTTTCCCCTCCCATTTTTAAAATTCAAAACACGAAGTGAACGCCCCTACCACCCCTTGCCCTTATACCAGAATCCATTGCACATTATTATTTTGCAAACTTCAGATATTTTGATGCACAAATTATATTTCCTTCGTTGGAATTTCAATGAGAAATTATTCCTTTGTTAATTACAATATTATTTCTTATTCGTCCATGCAAAGAATTGTACAAGTGTAGACAAGCGAGAAATTTCCATTAGATTGTCGGAAGGGAATTTCGAAAAATCCGTTAGATTATGCTGAAGACAGGTGTGTATCTTGTGCGGAGGTTGTTTTCTGTAGGGATGTATTTAAGTAGCTAAGGTGTATACGGTTATGCACTTTCCGATATTATCTGACAGTGGCATTCACTCTGTGCGTATGTATGTAGGTACATGTCTATTCCTCTTCAATCACTTCCATTTGAAAGGTTTATTGTTCGTTTTCGTTCCCAAAAATAGAACGAACATTCAAATTTCTCTGTCATGGTGGATGAGCCAAAATGTGTGTTTCTGTGTTTCCACATGTATTTGTGTTCTTGTATCATTGTGCCTTTTGTGCACACCTCTTTGTGTGTATGTATGTGTGTGTGTGTCTGTGCATTTCCGTATGTTTATATTTGTATGTATTTGTGTTCTTGAATGTAAGTGCTTTTTTGCCTTTGTGTATGCATATATTTGTTATTTTGTATATTTGTGCTGTGTGTGTTTTTGTCCATCTTAGTGTGTGCATATCTGTTGGTACGCACATATGTATATGTTTGTTTTTCTATGTATTTGTGTTCTTGGTCGTCTGTGCTTTTTTTGTGTGTGTGTGTATGTGCTTGTGCATTTGGACGTGTGTCTTTATGCATTTATATTCTTCAATGCCTCTGTCGTTAGCGTTTCTGTGTGTTTTTATGTGCACTGGTGTATGTGTGTCTGTCTATTTGCGTTTTTGAATGTCTGTGGCTTTTGTTTGTCTTTCTGTATGTGTGTATGTGTTTGTGTATATGTTTCTACTTATTTATATTTTTATATGTGCCTTTTATGTAGGTGTGGGTTTGTGTTAATGTACATATTTCATACTTGTGGATTCTTATCCATTTTTTATATGTGTGTGTGAGTGTCTGTGTTGGTGTGTGCATTTGTATGTATTTCTGTTCTTAAATGTCTGTGCCTTTTTGCGTGTGTCTGTATGTCCGTGTATTTGTATGTTGGTGCATATATATATATATATATATATATTTGTATTCGTATGCATTTATATTTTTATGTCTGTGCGTCTATGTGGGTATGTTAATGTACATATTTTCGCTTTTGTGAGTATGCATCTGTGATGGTATGTTTGTGTTTGGATGTATTTGTCTTTTTCAATGTCTTTACTTGTGTGTGTGTGTGCACGTATACATACACACACACATATACATATATATATATATATATATATACATACACACACATGTATGTGCGTGTATAATTATTTTTTAAATAGATACAGGTGTATAAAAATGTTCGAAAGTTCTGGATGCTTTTAGCTATTCTTTTAAGGTCATTTTTTTTTAACTAAACATGTCTAAAGTTATAGGTAGCAATGTTTTATTTTTCCCTATATATATGTATATGTAATATAAAAGGCTTAAGCACTAATATTTCATGGTTATAATTTATTACATTGGAATCGTAATCACAATCCAATTCATCAGACCTACCTATCGTGATTACGATACCAATATAATAAATTATAACCATGGAATATTAGTGTTTGAGCCTTTTATATTATATTCTTGCTCTGTCTAGTACATAGAGCTCTAAATGGATTTTATCCTCTTGGAAATATATATATATATATATATATATATATATATATATATATATATATATATGAAATGGACAAAGTCCGACAATTATTTTAAGACATTTTTATGGTTATACATTCTTTTTTTTAGATACAAATATTTAAGTAAATGTTCTGTTTATAATAAACACTATTAAACAACATTTACCAGCCTGTGAAAATTTCTCGAACATTCAGGCCAGTAAATGTTGTTTAATACTGTTTATTATAAACAGAGCATTTACTTAAATATTTTTATCTATAAAAAGAATGTATAAACATAAAAATATCTTAAAAATATATATATGTGTGTGTGTATATATATATATATATATATATATATATATATATATATATATTGCCCACTAATATTTTCACTATATATATATATATATATATATATGTAGGTTTATATTGTATATAATGAGGAAAGTGGGTTTGGGAAATCTTATACTCACAGTACAGATTGAAGGCAAGAGAGACAGGCAAACAGCGTATGACATACTTAGTGAGCTTGAATAAATGGTTGGCGGAACAGGATTTGGGAGGAATAACAGAAAGACAAACAAATATTAAGTACTACAAGAGACAGGATGTTGTAGAGAGCCATGATCGTCTACATGCAGAAGGAACATGTTACATAAAGAAGTACATTTGCAGAACATCGGTAAATGGGGCAATTGAATTCTTCTAACAACAGCGAAAATGAAAAGAAGGAAATCAGTCGTCCTGACAACTCTTGAAATGACAGCAGCTCCTCTCAAAATTACAGAAAGTATCCGAGACGGAATCTGATCAATAGTTCCCACCGCACTTGGAATGATAATGGCTCATCTCGAAATGACACAATTTACCATCGTAATGATCATTCGATAAATATTTCTCTATTGATTCCCCCGCAAAAGTTAATAACTTTGCATGTTAGCTGAAAAGAGAATGGAATGGACAAGGAGGCCATTAAATATCTACAGTGTGATGAGAGATGTGTATGTGTCATTTTTCTTTACATTTTCCGTAATTCTCACAACATTCTCACCATCCTTCTGTATAACCATATCTTTGTTTCTTCAAGTCTCTTCTTTAAGAAAGCGGGAGTAAACAAAGACTGAAACGTTATGATAATAACAACAAAGATAAGGATATTAGTCCGAATGTAAATTGTGCAAATAAGAATAGCTCCTCATTCCAGAAATCTACAATAACGAGCAATAACTGAGCAGACAAAAATGGCAAGAAAGAGGCGAGATATCGCGAGACCTCATGAACAGAAGAACGAGAACAATCTATCCCTATAAAATAAAATAGGTTACGCTTGAAATTCAAGGAATCGTCAATATGGACCGACAAACATCTGAAGAAGGCCGTTGGGGACAACGGCCGAAACGTCCCAATAACAAGGCGAGATATCGCGAGACCTCATGAACAGAAGAACCAAGAACAATCTATCGCCATAAAATAAAATAAAATAGGTTTCGCTTGAAATTCAATGAATCGTCAACATGGACCGACAAACACCTGAAGAAGGCAGTTGGGGACAACGGCTGAAACTTCCCAATAACGACAACAACAACAAAGGTGAGAACATTACTGGGAAGAATGTAAATAATGATAACTCTTCTGAGAGAAGTCTTAGGCAATTCAAGGGAATTCCTCCAATTGGTTTCCTCCACCCCCCCTCTTTTTTTTTTTTTTTTTTGTTTTTCTCGTGCATATAGTACATTTGCAGAACGTCGGTAAATCGGGCGATTGAATTCTTCTCAGGACACACGAAAATGAAAAGAAGTAAATCAGTCGTCCTGACAACTCTTGAAATGACAGCAGCTCCTCTCAAAATTACAGAAAGTATCCGAGACGGAATCTGATCAATAGTTTCCACCGCACTTGGAATGATAATGGCTCGTCTCGAAATGACACAATTTACCATCGTAATGATCATTCGATAAATATTTCTCTATTAATTCCCCGCAAAAGTTAATGTTGAGATGTTGTGAGGTTCCCGCGTGTCGGTGTATGAATCAAGACAAACACAGTTGTAGAGGAAAATACTGGTATATTCATAAACGCAATTAACAATAGAGTGATTAGTAGAACGAAGGTTGGTTAGTACGAAACAATATCCAAAGTCTATAGTCCAACGGTATGTAACGGGTAAGCTTATCTGGACTGCTAACGCTGACTCTCTCTCTGACGCTCTGTCACTCTCTCTCCAGAGCTGACTTATATAAGAGGGACCAGTCCATTACTAGTTAGGTGGGTGCGCCCCAACAGTTAACAACTTACTTCGCATGTGACTTTAAAAGATGGAGACATTAGTCTAAATGTAAACTCATCATATCGGATATTGATACAGAAAATACTAACACCATTTTAATTCCTCTTGACGTTGCAAATTATTACCAGTTAATCTTCCATTTTAACCCCCCCCCCCCGGACTCGGGTGCGTAGGAGCCAGCCTGCTTGGGGTCCCAAGGCAGTGCTTTGTGACCTTGGTTATTTTATCTACATTTTTCCTCCCCCCACCCTAATTCTGTATGAGTTACAAATTAAACTGCGCCTTCTCGGTATCACGGTTTTTCCA